TATAAGATATTAAGATGACTATGTATCCAAATGATGAAGATAAATGTGTAAATTTCCAGTGAATAATTCATAGTTTTGCTTACTTTTAAGTTATTTCATAATAATATAGCCTATTATAATGACACTGTTTATTAGGGCGCAATTATTAACAAGATTTTGTCCTTTATGCATATTTGTTTCGGTAGTCAAGAAGTTAGCTCGGTAGCTCGATTCCATGCGAAAAAGTTGCAAACAATCAATTAAGTATTTGTATTAAAACTTTTTAGTTTTTAATACTATTTTGTGTTATTATTATTTTTTGGTCTTACGATTTAAATAATATGTTTCATCAAATTCAGCAAATTCCGTTGTTCATTGATGGCATATTATTATCATTACTGTTTTTCTTTATATGTTTGAATCAAAAACTATTGTATTGATATACATTTATCTGGTGCTATACTAACTGAATATTATTTTTTTTTTCATTTCATGCTCATTGTTGAATAATGAGATTTATGTGTCGATTTATCGATCTAATCGTCCTCATACGAGACAGTGATGTGTGATTTTGATTGAGCACTTTATAATATTTCATTGATAAAATTTTATGTTTTTACATCAAACATTCTGCAGAATTGACACAATTTAATTATGCATATATTTAAAAAAAAAAGCATATCCAATGTTATTTAAATTTAATACAACGTAATTGAACTTATAATATATTAATACAGTTTTGTGTTTATATTTTTTACAGAAATTATTATTTATTAAATATGTTATTTTTATCATGATACTAAATACAGACCATCGCTACAGTGTATACTTGTATCATGAATCATATTATGCTTTATAGTTACCAAAACTTCACTGAATGGTGTTTACGGTTATAGAATAAAAGTTTTATATTTCATCAATCTATCGAGCCGTTCATTTTTACCGACATACATTTAAAATCGTGATTCGTCCGTCAACACGCTTATGTTTTTTAATGATTCATAGAGTTATTATAAATTGTAATTTATGTTGGAAATGGTTGTACYTGCAATAGTTACAAACTTTAAASTATTTAGTATATTTATGTGTGTGGACAATGGAAAGTGATTATTTCCATTCCAATTTTTTTCGATAACGTTTTGACATATTATATTATAAGATTTTTAAGATTTGGAAATTATGTACATTTTATTGGAAATATTGTAGGTACTCATACTAATTACGAATTGCAAATTATAATATTTATGAAAATTGATTTTTGTCATTCTAAAATGTCACACTAATAATTTATGCACCCCTAGAGACATGTCGATGAACCATATAAAACAACTGCCGGAAACGTTATTCCAATCGACRAAAAACTTGGTGTTATTGCATCTGTACGGCAATAAGATTGAAGTATTTCCAAAGTCGATATTCAAGGATCTGRGCTTACTAGAAGACCTCGACTTGTCGGCGAACTCATTGTTGGAGATATCGTCCGATATATTCCGAGGCGTGTCGTCACTCAAGAGGTTGAAATTGCAAGAAAATCAACTACAGCAGCTCCCGTTAGGTAAATACTAAATCTTCTGCAATAAACTTACGGTTAGGGACACAAATTACAAACACAAAACCACTATATAATGTTGTTTTTTGGTWATTTTTAGGGGTGTTTGACGACGTCGAGTACTTGGAAGTCTTGTCGTTGAGAAACAACCGCATATCGTTCATTCGTCCCGGACTGTTCAACAACATGCGTAGATTGGTGTATCTTGACCTGACTGAAAACTGGATAAATTTAGTGAGTGATATGTTATATAATATTAGGTATATATAGTAACCAATTATTATTATTATAACTGTCGTGATCCTGACTAAAGCAACAATATTATCATACCCATCACTTTCTGTTTCTGTTTGTGGCATAATATTATTAAATTGTTTACGCACAACATAATATAGCTTAACGGCAACGAGTTCACTGACTTGGTAGCCTTGAACGAGCTACATCTCGGTCAAAATTACTTGGAGTTCATACCGGAACGGACGTTCAAGAATTTGGCGTCGCTCGAAAAACTTTACCTCTTCTCAAACAACATCCAACAGTTGGACGTCAGCAGCTTTTATGGTTTAAAAAATCTTTCGTCGCTGTTTCTCAACAACAACGTGATAAAGATTATCGATGACAGGCTTTTCGAACCGTTAATGAATCTTAGAAAATTGTAAGTTTTTCGTTTTCGAATTGCATATTAATATCAACTATTCGATTTATCTTTATTAAAATACAATTTGGGTAGGTAATTTTCATAGTTATTTCACAATATCTGAGGCCGATGGTCTATTGCGTTATCATTGAAACCCAATTGTTTTTTTTTAAATATTAAGCTACCTATATTTATAAACTGGGGGAAATAATAACATAAAATTAAATAAACAATTAAATTAAATATATTATCATGTTATTCAACAAATATAACATAATTGTAATTCTAATGTATATCACTACTCATGTCAATAACTTATTTTTGATWATTAAATGATTATAAATACAAATAAATTATAAAATCATTATCTACCTAAAAATATCAATATCAAGTGTATAATTTAAACTTGTAATTAATAATGTGTTGCATGGACAGAGGAAATTTTATTTGAACAATAATTTATATTAATTACTATCATAACTATTAATTACATGTTATTAAACTAATAATAACTCAACGCTTAAAAATAATAAGTAAACAGCTCTTATAATAATATTGTGATATAGTAAAATAACCATTTTATCTCAAACAATTTTAGTTATTTTGTTATTATACAAAAAATATTAATCGAAAGGATTTTAAATATTATTCGTGTTACAATGTTGCACAATGACATTTTCAATGAATTTAAATTATTTATACCATAAAGTTATTCCATGGAATTTCGCTTTTGTCTTGACATACAAGTTACAGGTATATAATGTTATATAGGTACTATATAAACTATGTTTATATCGACAATTAGTTCAACCTACTGAGTTCAAAAATAAAATTTAAAATAGTACAAAATAGAGTTTAATAAAACRTTAGGTATTCTTGATGAAATATTTTATCAAACATGCTAATTTACCTGTTTCCTTTGCATAGAATCTTTTTTCATGTACGAGTATAATGATTGATTATCGTTGATTTCAATACCACATAACACGTCATGCATGACTGTGATTTACTCAACGATGAGTTACACTTGAAAAAATTATGCAACAAAACGAATAATATTTACTTTTAACATAGTTTAATATTATTACCGTAGGTATAATAAAACGAGTGTCTATAAAATTAACATTTTGAAAACTAAGTATACACAMGCTCGTTATAATAATTGACCGATCAATTATTCATCGTTTTTTACTTGATAATTGAGTTTTTAATAACAATAAAAACTAAAATATCATTCCGTGTTCTTGAAATGTGATAATAATTGACGAAAGGCATTCGATAGCTTTTGAATGGAATTTYACACATATTTCACGTTATCTTAAGTTGACATGGCACTGTACTAGACATTTTTCAGACATATTGTTYTCAAAACTTTGTATTCATTCAAAGTGTTATTACATTTATATCATGTCTACTTATTCATTACTTAAACGAATTAATAAATTATGCATAACACTATATAAATCCCCAGATGTCATTTCAAAATAGATCATTTTCGTGACGTTTAAATAGAACAAAAAATAACTGACTTAAAAAGTAAAATTACAACTTTTTACTTTTCAGGCACATCGATAGCAATAAATTCCAATTTCTACCAAACGACTGTTTCAATCATCTACCAAAGTTGGAATCGTTGAAACTCTCAAAGAACCCGTGGCACTGCGATTGCACAATATTATACTTGGCTAGGTAATTATGTCAGATATTTGAATAGAGTAAGTTTATTTGATTGTTTGMCGTTTCGGTTTGTCAAACACCGCATGGTAATTACGCATAACATCGTCATATAGGATCGACCGTAGTTGTACTTACCTGGTATAAGCACATTCGATTTCCAATTTGGTATGCGAAATTAATTTATCATACTATATAATTGTATATACCTACTATGCATAATAGTTAATACACACGCATCTACAAATGTTTCAAATAATATTGTTTGCGAACAAAAGTTAATCATTCTTRGTGTTCAGCGAAGAAACTTTTAAATAATTTCAGTATGATTCAATACAACAGTTATTCGACAGACAAGCGACACTACACAAGGTTTGATTGTAATGTGTAGTTGTTCACTAGAAAATGAAAAAAATCTCTACAAACCGCGTTACCACCGTTGCAGATTACACGAAAGAAATTTTAAAAATAGTAAACAATAATCTGCGTTTACAATATTTTATCGAATTGATAAAATAATTTTACTGTCAAACGTAGAGTAGGTACCTATARTGTATTATTTTTAACAGTATGACGAACTATAAGTTGTTCGGTGTTCAATTTTTTTTAAGATTACAATGCGTATAATATGTATACCTATATATATATATCATATTATATACAATATTACCAATACAAGTAATTTGTACGACATAATAATATATTAATGAGTTGTTCGTCAGAGGTAGGTCGTAGGTATTCGTATAATATAAAACCATAAAATGAAACGAGCGATTAGTGTTTTTTTTTTAGTTTTAGCCGTAACCTGATGGTGTTATAATATACGCATAGTTGGTTCCGTTAAAATGAAATATTATGATATTATATACGSATAAATTACATTTTTAAAATCGAAAAAATCCGTGATCATACGTGAAATAAAAAATAATTATTGAATAATAATATTATTACGATGGAACTTAATAATATATTTTTTTTATTTTTTTTTTGCGTTCTTCGTCATATCTGTCTGCAGATGGCTTCGGGCAAACCGGCAAAAAGTGTGGGACTCCAACCCAACGTGTCGTGGTCCAAGAGACTTGGGCGGAAAGCCCGTTGAAGACATGACCTTTGAAGACTTGTGCGATGGCCAATGGGCGAGCATGGTGAAGCTCACACCTCGCGTACCCATTCGATAAACGACGGCAAATATCGTTATCGGTTATCACATATTAATATTATTATAGTTATACATAATATATATATATATATATTAATATTATATTGTTCTGAGTCGGAAACCGCGATTGATAACTTTTTCTCGACAATCTACGTTTGAGTATATTATATTATATTGTATATTATTATATTATATTATTGCGGTGGTGTGCGTGACGCGTGTGCGGACGCGTATTGTTTCTTTTGTTTTTAATTGATCGCACAGTTTAATTGCGCGCAGATAAGAAGGCGGCTGTTATCTGGGATAGGCACTGTGTAATAATTTTAACATTTATTATTTTTTTTTTCCTTAATGTGCCACTCGAGAGTAATAATACTGTGTACAATTGTACAAGCGTGAGTGTGTATGATGTATGTGTGTGTGTGTGTGTGTGTGTGTGTAGTCATTTATAGATAAGAACAGTAAACAATTTTTGATCTTCGTCAAACATTTTTTTTATTTTTCGTACTGCAGTCAGCAATAAGCGTTCTTTACGATCAGTTCGAATCTTAATAAAAGTAATAATTATGGTCGGCATTCGTTCATCGTTGTTTTATTTACTCTGTTTGGTCCTGATTCTTCCCCCCAGCGGTAAATTAAATATTATTTATTTTACATAGTGCATAAGTTATGATAAAAATAGGTACATTGCAACTGTAGAAGATGTAGATCAAAATATATTTTTATTTTTTGTAATAAACATGGCATATTACAATATAAAAATTCGTGTATATTCTAATTTTGTAACGATTACTTTAAAATAGTATGTCATGTAAAATATAAAAAAACATGTTTGTGTCACCGCATAGTTTGATTTTCATTTTTGTGACTTGATTTTGATTTTAGATTCAAACGAGTTGACTAATTTCGAACATCAACGATTGAAAAATTCAGTAAGTAATCCAAATAGTGTAACGTGCATTACACACATTAAACTATATTCGAATACAATCGCAAAGGTAGGTACTAAAACCTACACAAAATATTTTTAGTATCTTAGTTCTGATGTAAAATAATTTTATTTGCGTTATTCTATTTTATTTGCGTTAGTTGTCATATTGTTATAATAAAAATGTACACGATTGCATTTTAATTGATATTAGCTTTTATTCACTATACATATTGTACTGCAGCACACTTCCGTATATTCCCAAAGAACGCCAAATATGTCTAACTTATTAAATTATAATTATTCTAACATGTTTTGATGTAACCAGAATTTTATTCGTAAGTAATAAGGATGAACGACACTTGTTGAAACTCCAAAGAATTATTATCAAAATATATATTATTTAATATTATGAATAGCAAAAAAAACTCTCCGTACAAAATCAATAATTATTTGGCATATTATATAAAAAATAATCAATTATAAGACATATTTTATTATATTATGCAAAACTGATAACACATGAAAAAACATATTCAATAGGTGTTTGTTAGCTTTTAATAAACACGCTTCTACAGTGTAAAAATATAATATTATTCCTGTACTTTTGTTTAGGATTTTTCAACAACAATATTATATTAAAATATTATACGGTACCTAGGAATGTTGTCATTCGTATAATATAATATGTTAATACCATGAATAAGTTTGAAAAGGTACCTACGCATGGAATAACCGAGATTGACAAACCGAAAATTTTAATAATTAATTAAAATTGCGGGTGGGAAATAAAAAATGTAATTACTTAGTAACATTTCTCGTTACTGTGGTTTTAAATCGAACTGCAGCACCACCACAATACCTATTATTAATTTATGGTAAAATATAAATGTATATTTGTGTAGTTAATCATAAATTGATGATTAATGCTCGTTTATACGAAAACACATGAATATCCACAGTAGGTAAATACTTATATATTGAAAAACAAAACGTTGTTTCGATTGTCATATAGGTACATTATTGTACATGATAATATGATGGCTTCGACTTCTATGCTTTATTATGTGCGTTCAATTATAAGATAACCTCGAACGTCATCGTTTTCGATACATATAATATGTGTATATTGTTATATTATTTTAATAACCACCAAAAAAAAAGATCCGTTTGAACTAAAAGCATCGTAAAATAGAACTTATCTCATGTTTGAGCAATGAGGTACATAGAATTTACACTCAGTGGCATAGTGTACATTTTTTATTTTCCATAAATCATATTATTAATAATATTATTATCATAGTGACGATAATTAACATTTTTCGTGTGTCAAAAATATTGYTACTTTTGAACGTTTATGTGTGTATACAGATGAATCCTCTGTTATTGTGTCTTTGGTCGACGCACCATGTATTACACATTACACGCAATACTATACACTTGACCGTTTGATCTGTAAATAATACTAATTGGATTAAAATTTAATTTCACTATAATTATCGAGTTCAATTAAGTGTAGTGTAAGATATATTATTTTCATCGGACCAATTATATAGTTGGACGTAAATTGGATAATTAAATATCGTTTAACCGTGCCCAGGCTTATCTCACGCGTGTTCGTCTGATTACAATTCATAATAATATAAATATCTTCTATTTATATCTGTTTTGTTCTACACTACCTATATCTTAAAAACCACAATGTAATAATAATCTTATTTTTTGTAAGAAGCCACTCGTAATGTGATCAATGATCAAAATATTAGAGCTCATAATACATTTTATCGAATCACATTCCTAATAATACGTAATATTGACAAAACTTGCATAATATACTGGTTGGCTTTTATCATTTTTAATTATTTTTGTACTTTTGTCAAATTATAGTAGTTTAAATATTGTTTATAAATTATACAAAAAAAAAAAATGTGTTATTACATGATAATACCTAATGGCTAATATCAATCATTATCAAATAAAAAATATACGAGTATGTATCTATATTATAAACAATGTACAACAAAATTTATAACGTTACATTTAAAAAAATAAATTTAGTATTCTAATACTTGAAATTTAGTTAAAAAAGTATCTATTACAATACTATGCATATGATAAAAATCCTATCGATTGTGTTTTAGAGCCAACATAAGATATTAGATTAGATATCATTAGAATAATGAGATCAATAATAATCTATTAGTTTCCGTTGTAATTACATTAAATATAAATTATGAAGATTTACATTTTACATAATATTGACGGAATTAATAAATTAATAGGTACGAAAAAACAACAAATATTTGTTACATTCTATTTGAATGATGTCATATGTCATGAAAACCAATTAATATATAAGTGTAGTATTATAAGTACCAATAATATATTAAACAAAGTTGCCAACCGTTTTTGACTTGATTATAATAAATTAAAGACGTTTTTCAAATCACAAATTATTATAATTAACAAGGTAAACATTAAAAAAAAAWTTTAAAAATGATAGTTCTTCGAAAATTTTAGACAGCAATTTACTTGGGCTATATATATATATATAATTATTATTTAAAAATGAAGAAAAAACTTAAATATGTATAGTGTTATTGATGAATTGTTCATGTCAAAATATTGTACCCATACGAAATAATAATTGAATTGACTATTAAAACTACTTATATTCAAAAACTACAAAAAATATGAATAAACCTATTCAATAATAATGTACCAATGCATAATTTACATCATGGGCACGCTATATTTATACTTGTCGATTTATTTGAAAAATAAAAGTAACAGGATAATTTTTTTAAGCAAATATTTTGAATTACTATTACACGTAATTACGTAACTATATATACGTGACTGAAATATTAATATTATGGTAGTCTATCCACATTTTTTTTTTTTGTCGTAAGTTAATTTTAAAAATAATAATATTTTGATATTTTAAAAGACGTACAACAAGATTGATTATAAAGTTGTTCTAAAAAACGAAAATCGTCAATATTGTTATAATAGGTATTTTAGGTAACAGATGAAAGTTGAGTTTTAACACAAGTCACTATCTATACACACAATTATATATAATACAAGATGAATAAAATAAAGCCATCTATGTTTGTCGAAAACTGATGTTGACTCGATTTACTCACTTGTGATATGCATCTGTACATTATTTTGATACTATAGACAGTTTTCCAAAACATTCTAGATAATAGTGTATTATGATCTACCTAAATCCTAATAACGAGAAAAATAGCTAAGAAATGTATTGAAACAAGCTCGGCCGGGACGCTATTTGTTCGGTTCTAGTGGTTCTACTACAAGATATCTAAAAATATATAATATATTGCAGTTTATAATTCACCATTCAATGCAACTGGCTATAAGTACATATACAATTTTAAAATGTGTTATAAAATTCCYCTCGAATTTGGAATATTATATAGTAATTAATAACATATATTATGATACTATGAAATTATATCAAATGCTATACAATTACGTTGGAGCAACTATATCCTCTAGACACTTGCCCGTGAAGAATAAATTACTCTTCATCCAGATTAAAATAAAATTGTATCTATTGAATATTACATTATTATACTATAATATAGCAATAATACCGATATTGACTAACCGATTTATTAGACTTGTTTACTTTGCAGACGTCGTTAAGTTGTTACGTTTTATATATTTATAAATTATCCGTAAAATTTTTAATATACGCCATTATAATTCGTCTTATACAAACGAAAAAGCTGTTGTAATGAATATTATAAGATATTCTATTTAATATGAATTAGAATCAAATTTCAGTAATTTATACAATTTTCAATAATACTAAACTGAAGTTGTTATTATTGACATATAATTAATTATGTTTAGACATATATATATATATATATTTAATATAATAATACGATTTATATAATTTCATAAAAGTATTACATAACGGTATGTATAAGAATATAACTTAAATTAAATAATTTTTTTTTTAAATAACTAATTTTGTTTGATTTTTTCCAGCATACAGATAATTATTTCTGCTGCTTTATAAATCTCAAGAAATTAATTCTGTTTATCCATCTAAAACAAAAATCTCGTATAATTAACAAATATTTTTAGAAAATTTGTTTTGCTATCATCAAAAACTGAACCTTATGGGATTTTTATTAAAAATGAATATTTAGTGCATATTTTTAAAACACCTATAAATATTAAAATACTTAGAATAATAAATTATTAAATTAAAAAAAATTTATATATAATGTTTTATTATAAAAAATCAACCTGTATTATTTTAAGTTTTTAAGTGTAATATATTTAGGTTTTAGTAATAACTTACCACTTATTAGTTATAAATTATAAATTATCTTAATAAAATAAATACATATGAAATTGAATTATTGAGATAATAAGTTATATTTTCAAACGAAATTTGTAGTTGTCAATGTAAGATAAAATATCAATAAGCACGAAAATAATAATATTTATTTAAAATTTAATAAAATATCAGTGATCACTCGAGAATTACGTTTGATAAATAATACAATAACCAATAATTAATTATGAAGACAAAGAAATAAAAATCATAATGCGTCGTAGTGCCATTGATTTAAGTATTATCTATTAAAATAATTACTTAGTTAAAATATTTTACTAAATTTGAAATAAAGTGAATGAYAATCAATGTGCATCACATATTTACTGTAACAGCATAGATAGGTTTTTTCATAAACAATTTTAGTAAGCCAGCTTAAAATGTGTAACCTTCTTAAAATAATATAGTATCTAGTATGAATAATAATCACGTTAACTTATAATTGAATACGCATTTACAGCTATTATAATACCTACTTATGTATGTAGGGTTATAGAATTCATTGAATTTAAAGATAAATAGAAAATCGGTAGAGGTGCATTATCAACACATTTGATTTCACTCGCAACGAATGATGTTTAAATACATTGAGTACCTATCAACCTATAAATATTTTTGTTTAGCACGAACTTGGATCAACTACTACGAAAAATGAAGTTGGTGGCGAGGAGGATGAAGAACAATATCCTTTTCAAAAAGCATACTATTCATATAAAGTGCAATCTAATGAGGTAAATAATAAAAATAATATAAACAAACATGATTTAAAATGTAAGATGTGAGAAGCAGTTACGACATGGCTATTTACCGTTTTCCAGTTTTTAGTAGAATGAAAAAACGGTGGTTGGCCACACTGTCAATTATACCTATCGCTTTAAAAACGAAAATAATAATAATTAATAAACGTTTATCTTTCAGTTGTTAAAAGATGTACGTTTAGATCCACCAATTGATTATGTAACGCCTGCAGAATACAGCTTAGTGTTGGAACCAATTGTTCATTTTTGTCAAAATGTGGATCAGAGTATTATCAAGAAATTTTCTTCGTTCGGGTCAAAAGATAAGGTGTATATCAATGTCGATGTGGATTTAAGAGACCAAGTGACCAATGAATCTACGATTGTGTACAAACTTAAGGTAATATGCACAGAACGAATAAGCATTAAAAAAGTAAATAAAAAACTGATATATTATGAAATAAATTGTTAAATATTTATATAAGTAATGAAACAGCTAGAGAAGTATTATATTACTAAAATATTTAATATGGCGTACGCACAATGTTATATTACTAATCTTTAATTAAATTGYACAAACATCAACGTTATTATGTTGTATTTGTTTAAAAATTAATAATTAACGGGTTATCGATATTTTAAAAAATAAGAGCATAATACAAGGATTATCATTATTATTGGTATTTAATTTTCGAGTGAAAAAAAAAATAATAATGCCCATTTAACGTAGTATACCTAAAATCAAAATTGTGATTAAGAGAAAACAAATAAACAAATTTTAGTCAAAACCAATCACAGATATTACATAAATTAAAACATGTTTTGAGTTTTCATAATGGATATTATTTATATATATCATCATAGGCGATTTTTATATTTTGTTAGAATACTCCAAACAGGGAAATTAAAGTGTTCCAAAATAATTAATGACATACAATTTATAGTAACATTGTACTATGTCCATTGAAGTTTTGTTTGAAATGTAATATTTATTGAAATCTATATTGTTGTTATATTTTATTTAAAAATAAATAAGCTATTTAAATTTTAGTCGGTAAAAAAGGATGATTTGAATAAGATCGGTGGTTCTACAACTGTACTCATCAGAATTGTTCAATTCTTACCTATTCCAGGTACCTACATATTATTATACTTTTTATACAAAGTTTTCAGAAAAGATATATTATGCAGTTTTAAATGTTGTTATATAGATACCGTATTAGCGTTTGAAGAACCAAGTTATTCCATAAAATTGTCATATGGCCACATAGGCAAAGTTTTCAAATTTAAGACCACGAAAACCACAAACAAAGCGAAAGAAAAAAATACAGATAATTCGGTTGATTTAGAATTTGAAAAACAACCGGAAAACGATGAATATCTTTCAAAAAACGAATATTCTTTCAAGGGAAATTACTCTTTGGAATACGTACCTGGTATGATAATTTATTGTAACATTTAACAATACTAGTTACAACGTGTGCGTTGTGCACTCTTATTATTTACAACAATGCACATTCATACTTAATATTATATCAAATTAAATTCAGAACAACTTCTAACAAAATTAAGAATTACTGATGACGGTGAATTGGAGGTATTAGGAAATATCGACGAAGGGTACTACGATTTTGACGTCATAGCAGTCGACTATGGTCCTAATTCTACRACTGTTTTAAAAGACAGGTCCAAAGTAATATACATATTATATATATTTTATACATTTTTAAACGACAACTTTACAAAAAATATTTTAATTTGTTAACTATTGTGAATTATTATGTTTAATTTTTAGGTGCACGTGTTCATTGACAATGTAGCGGCGTGTAATTCGTTAACGTCTCAATTCATAAGGGCATTTAGTAAACATTATATAACCGAAGAGACTAAACTAATAACAGCTGTTCCGGGCACCGAATCGAGAAGTCAATGTAAATTTTCGATATCACATCAATATCCATTCGGCGGTAAGTATATACAAATAATATATAGGTTAATTTTTTAATCCAGCCTAAAACTATCAAGGTACACTATACATATCATTAGGTATACGCACAGCCCCTATTGGACTTTTATTGAACCGTTTCATAATTACGAGTATTATTTAAGTGTGAAATCGTAATTTTTCAAACAACAATAACATTGATATAAATTTAATATAATATAATATTATAATGTAGCTCAAGTCATGAATTCCAAATAAAAACGAGGTGAAAAATCTGATTTTACGTCACATATAACGAATTACACACTGTAATTTATGAACACGGTTACATTCATGCTATATTTTAGAATACCGCTCATAGAATAATGGTCTTGCACACAAGCACTAAAATAATGCTCCAGCAACGTCATTATAATTAATTATTTACGTATATTTCCGTAGTGTTATAATTATTGTATTAACAATATACATGCATTTAAATATTTCATTTATTATACATAAGTTGCAATAACATCGACACGATGAGGAAATACATAAGGTTAGACTGTAGTCGATTTATATGAGTAACGATATTTTTACTTAAGATCTTTAAATATTTATCCGTTGTAGTACTAAATTAATAGCAGCTATCGACATTTCTGATGTCCCTCCCTTAAAATGTAGGTATTTGAATAATATATTGATTAATAGGTAATAAAGTATGTATAATTTATTTTTGAACATCACACAAACTACAGTGGCTCGTATTGAACAGCGAGTTTTTAATTTTTTCATACAAAATAGGTACCTACTTCAAACTATAGTGCTATATAGCGGTACTGCTCGTAAATTGCGAAATTAGTATTATTATTATTCATTAAACATGCCCGATTACGATCGAATATTATAAATCATGTCGATTATTATCGCTAATATGTACGAGCTAATATAACATAAAATTACTAGCATACGATATTCCAATTATTTTACTACGCACGTATCAAATATCGAAACATTATAATTAAAAAGCAACATAAATAATTTTGTAGTTAGTATTGCAACAGTACCACGTGTTGACTTGTGCATAAACGCGCCTATTATATTATATGTTAAACGATGTAAAGACGCCAACGGCTGTGTAGAAGCAACCCATTATAAGTCTGAAAAAAATAATAGTATTCTGCTATTGTAATGAACTAATGAATAATTGTGAGGTGTAGTATTACTCGTAAAACAGTCCAAGTATTGTACTGGTATTTTCCAATGCAAAATAACACGAAGTTTCTCGAGGAGTGCAAAAAAAAATTGATTATTCAAATAAATATTAGTAATTTTCACCGTTACAATATTAAATTAGTACCTAACTATGATATCATTTGTTGAGTACTGCTACATGACGAATATTAAATTAACGAAGTCAAGTGTTCTAATTGTTGTGCGTACAACTATGCTATGATATATTAATATACAGTGTGTAACAGAAAAATATGACAGAATGTTATATTATCTTTTAAATGTTTCATTTGTCATATTTCTTCCCAAATATAGATCGTATACATCTAAAATTTCTAAATCTAAATCAATGATACTTAAGACTTAATATCCAATTCGAAATTCAAATCCAACCGAGATTCCGATTGCATTATTCATACAAAAACACATAATCAGAAAGGTTATAAGTAGGTTGGAACTTGGAACCTATCAGCGCGAAGTACCTATACAGATGCAATCGTAACGATCTCGCGTGTTGCATGAATCCCAAATCTCCCCTCCCCCCCCCAAAAATAAAAAATAAAAAATAAAAAATAAAAATCGCCACAATTACGCCAATAATGATACTATTATTAAATATTAGTATGGTACTACGAAAACACCACCACTGCCCGGCGAAATCATTAACCGCCAGAGCAATATTTAAAAAAAAAAGTACATAATCAAACCCTTTCACTGGTTTTTCGTGTTGTAAACCCACGTGGAGCTTGTATAATATAACATAAGAATATTTTTTTACACGGGTGGGTTAACTGGGTTATCACAAAGTAAGTATACCAGTGCAATATACCCACGGACGCGTTCGTAACGATCTCGTAGATTGCGTGAGTCGACAACCCCTCGGGRCTTCTCATCATATCGTTTGTCCGGCAAAAACGTTATTAAACGTAATAATATCACTACCTGCATAAAAATATTATACTTTTAATATCAACGTATACCGCATGTTCATAATACTATTAATACAATAATAGAACAATAATATTATTATTAGATTGGACTGCGATGGTGGATTTTTCGTATCACATGTTCTATACTTTTTTTATCCAAGTTCGTTATGATGGGCAAAMGTTAAGTTTCGAATATCCATACCGAGAAATATAATTTATTTTAGATAATAGGTTAAATGTTAGATATATTGTTACATCATAAAGTAATAATAATAATATTAAATATAATATAAATGTTWAATTATATTTTTATTATTGATTCAAAACAATTTTAAATTTTTTTCATGCCTATTATAAAGTACTAAAGTAATCGAGCTGTCGAGTTATAACCTATAAATATTGCGAGAAACAAAGTAAAATATACAACTAAGTGGGAAAAAATTATTATCATTATATCACATGATATGCATATTATAATAGGTACTTAGTTTATTAACAAGTAGTTATTTKGAATAATTATTGTAATTTGAAAAATCAATATGGTTGTTCATCGCTGCATTAAAATAATGTATATAAAATCTATATAATAAATTATACCTATAATGTTCTAATATGAATTGAATACAAATTCAATCTTCTCTTCAATAGTAATCATAGCGATTTGAAATATAACCGATATCAATTTCAATTACAATTTGAGGAAAATGAATAAATAATGATTGTATCAAATATTTAGTAACAATAAATTACAATAATAGTGTTAGCTGTAACTAATCGTAAAGCTGTAACCATTTATATACAAGAATTTCCATCGTTAATTTCGATATCCTTTTTAAAATGTCCAATAAAAAAAAATTAAGGACCATTTATCGAAATAATAACTATTCTATATTTAATTTGGACCAAATAACACATATATTAATCATAATCTTATACAAATTGGTTGGGTAATTTTGCATTGCGCGTAAACTCGTCGTTAACGAGATTTTTATACATATACATTATAATAAACATTTAATTTGCAAAATGTATCCAATTTTATGAGTTGRACCAAATCACACATATCGATCATTATCTTATGAAAATCAGTTGAGTAGTTTTGAAGTGCATCGCAGACACACCCGTCGTACACGAAATCGTTATACTTATAAAGAAAAGATATAGTATTGATATAATATAATATTGTTCAGTAGTTATTCGTTATTATTATTCTTACGATTACTTTTCAATTGTTTCGTTTACAAGCTAAAATGCATGCTATGGGTTTATGACTTAATTATAATAAAAGTGACCGGCGCCGAAATAGAAACCCAAACAATAACATTAATTGTATGTGTGAGCGTATTAACAAAGTATGTATTATATCATAGTCGTATCTAGTTGAAACAGCGTTATTACAGTATTAAACTACATCAGTTGTCATTACTGGTTGTTTATAGTGTTATTATAATGTTCGAATCTCACAAGAYCCCTTTCACCTTTGTTTACGATAAAGCATTCTACTATAAATATAWATTYTACACTGGATATAGCGTAACAATATTATAAAAGTTTTCAAATACTAAAAATASTAGTTTATATCATGATAGAATCATATAGGCATATCATAGTAGGAAAAATTATTAATAAATAGCATTTTATTTGATGTGAAGACGTTTTGGTGCGCGCAACTGCAGACTTTTATTAGATATTGTGGACAGCTGATGATGATGAGCCGAGATTTTAAATTATTTTTCGTATGAAATTGTCCATATTCGATTCACGGACGTTTACCAAAATTATTAAAATATATATTTWTTTTTTTTTATCATGGTATAAAAATATATAACTACCTAAGATGTATATATCTATAATGATTATTTATTTACCTAATGGGTTCGTAAAACAAAAGTGTTTATTGAGTCCTTCACGGTGAATATGAAGTACGTAGTTACGCTATAATAATATATAATTGCTCGAAATCACAGGTACGAAACGAATGATTTCTCGCATGTACTTGCTATATTATACTAAGAGTAGGTTGGGTCTCGGGGTGGAAAGAGCCGATGTGATATTCCGTCGCTTTTCTCCCAAAGCTCGTGATAATAATAATATTATACATCCATGTCACTGAGTTGAAATGACGAGTAAAAGTAGTATATTATTATATATTATTACGCACGCGTATAATAACTCGAGGCGGCAACGTCGACGTCCAACTACATCCGGATATATGTCTAGTTTAATAATATTTGTCTATTTAGGCCGCCTCGAGCGGTCGAAGAGAAAAAAAATTGGCGCATATCACATTCGTAGGTATACATCTTGTTTTCATATATGAATACATATACACTAACACCTCTGTTTATGCAATACACTTTTATATACGCGCTACTATATAATATATAATAATATTCATTATATATATCATACACCTAATAATAATACATAAAAAATAATTTCCTATATGTACCTTCAGTATAGTATTTACATAATGATATTTTTGTTCCGGATTCGTATTTGACTTTATTTTATCTCGAAACCGATGTCGCTCATTGACAGAAAATGTACAGTGTGCAATTATTTGTTATATTATGCAACTTGGCCGTGAATATGACATCACATTAATACTGCCTATAACATGATAACACAGATCGACATATCTTTACACTGACGTTAAGAAACACACGTTTTTCGTAAATTGTGTTTTTATTGTTCGAAAATCAATTATTTATCAATGAACTACATAAATATTATACAGTATCTGTATCATAGTTATGCACTTATTTTTTACTTTTAAATTCTGTATATGCATAATATATTATATTATTATGCTATAATATTTTATAAAATAATAGTGATTTGATAATTTGACATATTTTTCACGTATGTATTATATAATACAATCACCTTTGATAAGAGAAATCCAAGTGAAGGCTCAAAGAAGCGGCCATCATTCATCTGAAAGTTCAACTTGTGAACTTGATATTTTTGTTCAGAGTCTTTTTCGTTCTGGTCATTTATACAGGGTTTTACGTGTTTATTTATAAATAAACGTATTACGTTCGATGTTAGGGTAAAATTTAATAACTTGGAATGAAAAACAGAAATGAAATTGACCCTGTGGTGCTATCGTTGGTTTCAATTATTTTCCTGCATTAATGACGATCTCAACGACTTAGAGTCATTTGAGTGGTTTACTTAGAATATTTTTCTAAGTATTTTGATTCATAAAAATCGAACCTAACTCTATGTTGTCATTCAAAAAAAGTAAAAAACTTAAAAAATGATAAGGATAAAAAATATTTTAAAATAATTTTTTTTAATAAAAACGTTGGTTTTGAACAACTTGAAACTATGTGAAAAAATATTTACAAAAACATTAGTAATTTTTGAAATAATGAGTGTTCAATGATAAAAGAATCACTCGGTATATATTTAAATATTTTAAGCTACCATTTTAAAAACTTATGAATGATCTTGTATTTAACCATCAAGAATTTCGGCCCAACGACATTTCTATTGATATTATTTTATAGAAAAAAAATGTTTTTTTAAATTCAAATTCCAAATATCTATAAATACCTTGTAGGTAGGTACAAAACTAGTCAAAATATTTTAATATATTTCATGTGTAGAACGTTGTTAAATAAAACTTTTTTTTTCTTTTATTACCTATTATATACACAATCTGTACCTCAAGGTTACAATTCTAAGTGTATTAGCTAAAATACAAAAACTGAAATAAAATTTGACAAAAATATTGAGTCTCTATAATATTATAAGTTTTTAAATTAAAACAAAATACGACAATCGTTTGATGATAATTTGTTTATGGATGAATATTATATATTGTATTCATGGTTTTGGATTTTGATTGATGTTTAGCCGCGATGAAAGGGTAAAGATACACCACCATAATATAATGTATAATAATAATAATAAAAAACAATAATTCAACATATTTGTGCTATTATTATAATATTGCATATTATGGCACGCAATTCATTAAATCCCGGCCGCWTTTTGTTATATCGACCGCAAAACTACTATACACCGTTTAGCTGCATACTTCTCCGAACAAACGAGTTCTGACGTTAATGTACACACGTCATATTATTATATTATTATATAGGTACAACAAATACGACGGCTGTAATATAATAATGTCTTTTATCTCTCAGATTTGCGTAACACACTAGTATTTAATTTATACGTGTGGTGTGTGTGTGTGTGTAGAACATTGATACGCGTATTGTTTAGCGACAATTAAAAAATTTTAATCATCCCTGGAACCGAATATCCATGATAAACATCACTGGTGCCACGATTATAATCAGTGTGTATAATATAAAGAGGTGTACCGATGATTGACGTGGTCGCATGTATGTAACAAGTGTGAAGTTYGCCCAGCCCCAACATGTCCAAATTAAGCCTAGATAATATTGTAAGGCAAAAAGCTCAAAAATTGGCTAGAAATCACAAGTTGAGTTGTAGAATGATTTGTGA